TATTATCATATTATTATTTGAAGTATGATCAAATAGCATAGCAAAATAGAGCACTCTTTTCTCTATTAGACTATATAGAAAGAAAGTTTTTTTTAAGCTTACTATATGGCTATGTAACGTCATGATCAGAACTTTTGGTACACCCTAAGTACTAACAACATGTCGAGAAAACATATTACAAAGATATAAGAGACAACGTTGTCAGTATACTTTTCGATAAATGAACCAAAATCCTAGTTGTAAGTGATTTGTCCAAGACTGCGTAGTACATAAAAGGATGGCACCTGTGTTCGAGCATATCATCTTTCATATGCACGATGATCATTATTGTCAGTCATTTATAGTGGCTTCTCTAGGCGTCAGCGATACCAGTAATTTTTAGTCTAGGTTCCACTGGGACCGAAACCATCTTGTCCATGCCTAGGCTCTTACTATAGAGATAGTGTGTCTAATCTCATCGTATTTTCGATTATGATATATGTGTTTCATGTATAAAAATACGAATAATGATAAGATTATAAAAGAAAAAAAAGTTTCTTGATTAATTATATAAAAAGCAGATAAATCGTTTGTTTATCTATAAAATAACACAGTCCGATGAGTCATTATCGTTTTTCTTTATTATCACAGTAGTTGTATCAGAAGAGTCGTCAGTTGTTGTCGGTGGAAATCTTTCGAGAATACGTCGTTTTGCACGTGGTTGAAACACCTTATAAAATTGGAGAAAAAGATTGTTTCTATGTTTAATAGATAAATCCAAATAGGGAATTTTCTGGTCTATAACTTCAGTTTCGAAATATCGAGCATATACATCCAATGTATATTCGATTTCACTTGCAGTCGGTCGATCTTTTGGATTATCAGCAGTACAACGATCGATTAAACTTCGAAAAATAGGACTTTGAGTTTGTAAAGTAATTTTCTTGGCAGCATTTCTATTAAATGTATGTTGAGTTTCGGTGAAGAGTTCATTTAATGTTAGACCAAATGTAAAAATATCAAGTTTTTGATCATAAGTACCTTTCCAAAATTCTGGTGGCATATAACAGATACAACCAGTTTGAGTGTGTTTTAGAACCGGATCCAAAACTCGTGCAATTCCCATATCGGCAACTTTGGCTGTATAATTATCAGTGATCAGAATATTGTCCGGTCGAATATCTCGATGAATCATATTATGTTCGTGGATTTTTCGCATTCCACTGGCTATTTCTCTGGCTATTTTAACTTTACGACGAAGAGATATTTGTCCTTCGTTATGTTTTAAAAATTTTGCAAGACTTCCAAGTGGCATATATTCCATGATAATCATATATTTTTCAATATCGCCTTCTTCAGTATGTGCAATTCCATACGTTTTGAGAATATAACCACCAGAAAGTTCCATATATGCGGCTACTTCTTTAAAAAAACTGTTTTCAGAATCATTAGTAAGAGTTGAATTATGTGCGGTGATGACTTTGCAAGCCACTGTAAGCTCTCTTGGTTTCCAGTAAGCTTTATATACACAACCTATTAGAAACGAAAATAAATATTCGTTTGGTTCTTCTTTTTCAGTTAGACTACTTACCAAATCCACCGCGTCCTAATTCTTCACCGAGTTCAACATCTTCGTACTCTATTTCTGCAAGACTCCGATCAGATGCAACAATCAGCGGATGATAAGATTTGTGATTTTTATTCGTAACACCAGCATGCATACATTTTTGACATAAATCATAGTTTGGACATATATCACATTTAAAACGTAAGCCACGAATTTCATCTACTTCACATCCATCACATGGGGTTGACTCATGAAGTTCATCTACATAAAACTTTTCGAGTTTTTCAAGTGTTATATCGGCGCTTTTTACTATTCGATCAAAGAGTTCATTATTAAAACGAAAATGAACCATAGGATGTCCCCTCTTGTGCTGCTTTGGCTCTATTCGACGTTCAAAACACGGAACACATAAATCGAAATCGTCACATATTAAACATTTGTAACGATCACTTGCAATTGGATATATATTACATCCATCACATTGCGCCTGATGTTTTTCTTCGCTTATCTCGTCAACAATGTCGACCTCATCAACATCTTCATTTTCGTCTTCATCTAAAATAGATTCGTTCATACATGATTCAGACTTTACAGTTAAAAAAATTATACCTGGACGATGTTCGATGTTCAATGCAACGTTGTTTTCAGGACTTGCACGATTACCATTACCACTAGGAGATGCTGCTTTTTCTAATTCGGATTAAATTTAATATAATTAATATTTATGAATAGACTTTGGTTATTCCTTACGGTTATTTTCATTAGTTCCTAGTGGTCGTCGAGCGATATTGTACAGAAAGAGATCATTTTCTTCTTTGGTTCCTACGGATAATTATGTCTATAATCTGAGTACAATTATTAACAATACCTTTGTGAAGAATGATCCCTTCACGCTGCTGTCCATTGATTGTAACCATGCATGATTCGAATATTGCAATATTTTTTTCAGAAATGACTTCAAAATCATTAGTATTCGACCAACGAATCGTACAGTATCGTTCTTCACTTTCCATATTAATCTCTTTAAAAAAAACGAGAAAATGTGTTTATTTGGATCAGAACTAAAATTAGTTTCGTTTCTTACCTGGATTAATTTTCAATTCAGCCATTTGAAGGATGCTGTGTTTCAATTGTATGTTGAGGTCAATCTTCTCCTTCTCTAAAAAAACAAAATATGAAAATAGATATGAATTTAAAAAACTGTTTTTTTCCTTTTGATATATCGTTAATTCCTTCGACATATTCCACGTTTTATTCCAAGTGCCTTCTGCATTAAACTAGTATAAATGACGAAAAAGAAAAAAAGAAAAAGAAACTATTCACTGAATTGAATGGAAAGGATCTAAAAACCCGAAATCATCTTTATCTGTCTTCAACCGAATATAAAAAAAACCATACAGATTATGTTTGAAGTAGAGAGAATATAATGATCTATCAAATCATATCTAAACATCTGTTCTGTTCTGTTGACGAAACGGTACATTTATACGCTCAAATATTTAGCAAGTCATTAATGACAGTGGGTATTTTTCATGCATGAATAACATAGTCTTACCGAGAATGTTTGACAGACACCTGTATACGTGAAAGAAAGCATCTTCATATTTATATTATGCATCGTTTCTATAGAAGAAGAAACGAAAAAAACAGTGATGAATAAGTTGACCGTCACGAGCTGAAAGAAAATATATGAATAAAATCCTGTTATCACGAGGAAAAAACCAGAAGAGAAAAATCAGATACATTTTATTCATATATTTTCTTTCAGCTCGTGACGGTCAACTTATACATAACTGATTTTTTCGTTGCTTCTTCTAGAGAAACGATGCATAACCTAAATATGAAGATGCTTTCTTTC